GTGCAAAAACCATCGCGTCCTCTCTCAGTGTGCTCCGTGCTCTTTTGTGTTCTGCGTAATGCGTAATCACGAGAAAGATCGAATCTGGGCGCGAACACCTGGCGCCTTTTATCGAGGACCTTAAATAATAATAATAATGATGATGATGATGTTGTTAACAAAGGGATGGAGCAGTGGCGCAGTCGTTCGCACACTGCGATACGAACCCGGCGACCCGAATTCGATGCTCGCAGACAGATAGCAGCGAACATCAGTGGCGAATGTTTGAACTAGTCCTGGCTCTATGTCGACGTAGCCGTAATTTACTACCCGATGCAGTGTGTAAGTAGCATGTGTATGCGTGTGGAGTCGCGAGGAGCGGTGGCGCAGTGGTTAACGCGCTGCGCTGCTCACGGCCAACGCCAATGACGATCACGTGAACCGGTCCAGGACCTCTCCAAGATCGACTCAGCCTCAAATGAGAACCTGATGCGGTTCGCGCAAACACATCGCCACTTGGGGAGACAAAGGCGACGACGACGTCACGCGCACGGGTTCCGCCACCACCATGATCATCAGCAAGACATCGTCACCCTCCGTTCCAAGTCCGCCGAGAAGAAGATGATGATGATGCTTTTACGAGCTGACGATGTTATTACGAGTGGCTCCTTTTGCGGTGTCCACTTCGCTCGCGTGTTGAAGCGTTAATCATCCGTGATTGATGATCTGTGATTGCTGATCTGTGATTGCTGATCTGTGATTGCTGATCTGTGATTGCTGATCTGTGATTGCTGATCTGATTTGTGATTGGTGATCTGTGATTGGAGATCTGTGATTGGTGATCTGTGATTGCTGGTTTCATTGCTGCCGTGAGGTATTGTCGCCATCGTCATCATCACCACCACCATCATCACCACCACCATCAGTCTTGTAATGGTCGTCATCATTAACGAAGGCCTCATCATTCGTCATGTTGCTAGCTTCCTCTTTATTAATACCACCGTTCAAGTGTAGTGTAGTTTTTGTTATTTTCCTTGAACCTATCTACGTGACTTCACCGAAAGACCCCGAGACAATGAATTCCTGCAGTCACGAAATCTGTAAGCCTTTAACGGGCTGTTGGGGCGAGAGCTGTTCGCGACCACCTCTGAACGCCAACACGGCAAACACCACGCCCGGCCGCCTTTGTCTCCCCATTGCTGATGTTTACACATGACACCACCAGGTACTCATTTGAGGCTGAGTCGGCCTTAGGGGAGGCTCAGGACTGGATCAGATATTGTAAGGCAGTGGCACAGCGCGCTAACCACTGCGCCACCGCTCCCCACCGAACACACACACACACAATACTTCAGCGCGATATCAGCAGCCACATCGGCGCAGCTCACGCTTATCGCATTCACACACATTCTCTAAGGGTGCGTCTCAGTGTTTATGTTTTGTTATATGTGCAGATAGGTTCTGTACGCTGGTACAATTCTCATTATTACCATATAGGTGGTATTTTGTGATTATTATTTTATCTACAGCAGAGGGGGGAGGGGGGGGGGGAGCCGGGTCAACAAACCAAAATAACAAGAAGAGCATTTTTTTCCGCCTTCGGGAACAACAACAAAAAAACAAACTCAATATTTCAAAAGCCGCAGCGCAGCCGCGGTGAATACGAGGCGGTGGGCCCTGAATAAATAACGCCACGAAGCGGGCCGGGGAAAAGATTCAGATGCCGCAGGTCGCCCCACCACTTGGGGCTGCGTTACATCGCAACGTTTTACGCAGGAATTCCCGCGCGAGTCTCAGGACTCGTTCTCAAGAGGGTCCTGCTCGGTTCTCGCAGTAGGAGTCGTCGGGGGGAGGGGGGGTTGCCGTGCGTTTACCAAATAAGTAATGTGCGAGTAAAATAATTCTCACGACGTTTCGGCCACAACGCAAGCAGCCGTCCTCAGGTGGAGAATAGGTCTGTCGAGACGACAGACTCGACATACTTGTTCTCCACCTGAGGACGGCTGCTTGCGTTGTGGCCGAAACGTCGTGAGAATTATTTTATTATGTTTAATTTTTATTATTTTATTATTTCCATTCTACGTGTGACTTTACCGAAAGAACCAAGAAGACGAATCCCTGCAGTCACGAAAGCTTTAAATCGAAATTTAATGTGCGAGTAATTAAAAACAAATCTCGACAATTTTGGCAAATCTGGACCGTGAAAGCGGCTCACAATGATCTTTTGCTCTTCGAGTGACGCCCCTGGATCCTTAACGGCCACAGAAGAGCAGGCAGCGTGTGATGTGTAGTGTCTGATCATTCGTTTGACACCCGTGGTATTAACCGGGGCCGCCTGCCGGGCGCGCACCGCGAACCTCTGCAGCGAGCGGCTAACGCGTGACCCGCTCGCTGGGCCATGTCCCCGTAATACGGAAGACGACGGTTTAGGAGCCAAATGTCACATTTACAATATTGTTATAGAGTTGTGTGGATGTATGCATGCAGGAGAGCCTCACTACGTCTCATTCTTATCATGTGTGTCCAATGTCCTCCCCCCCCCCTCCCCATTGTTAATAAGACTGTGCGCGCGCCTTTGTCAGGAGACGAACTCAACCCTCTGCGTTCGAGCACGGTCCGCGGAATTGGACACCACGGCGCTACCCTCCTGGGATCCGCCCAGCAGGGGGCAGCACTTCCACTACCCACTCCGCCGTCGAGAAGAGCGACGCTCGTTATGCGAAGAACCCAAAAGCAACGGACCACTTTGCGTGACACGACACGACACGTGAACGACGAGCAGCTACGAAGCGTGGCGAGCCTCTGATTGGTGCAGAGAGACATCACAGAGGATTTTGAGCGTTGCAATGATTGGGAGGGAAATTGAGAGCGCAAAAGTCGGGGAAACGAGGGGTGCAGTGTCGGTGGGACGGGAATGGTTGACAACCGGCTGGAGAAGGAGGACGATGATCGGCTGAGGGTAATGGGGGGGTGAGGGAAACCTTCCAGAAACGGGGGGGGGGGGGGCTCAAGGGATATAGACGAGGAGAGAGCACGAGGGGGAAGGGACGCTGGGAGAGAAGACGACGTTTGGCCATCAAGGAAGAGTTTGTCGGTGTCCACAATCAAGGCTCCCGGGTAAAGCAAGGACGCGTTTCGGCCTCACTCCGGTGGCATGAGAATGACGCCGATAATTTTCCATTTCATTGTCAAAGTCGGCGCACGACGTGGTGGTTGGCTGGGCCAGCAATCTCGTGGATTCGCCTTTGTCTATCTCCCCAAGTGGCGATGTTTACTGTCAAGCGCTCCAGGTGCTCATTTGAGGCTGAGTCGAACCAGGGGAAGCCCACTATCGGTTTAATCGTCGCCGGTGTTGGCCGTGAGTGGGAATCGAACTCGGGTCGCCAGGTTCGTAGCGCGGTGCAATTACCGCTGCACTACTGCTCCCCAGAATTAAATTCACGTCACTCACACCATCACACTCACACCATCACACTCACAAACCCTCGTACAAACTCACACGAGGTCACACACACTCACACACCCTTACACAATGTCACTCACACAAACTCTGAAACTCACACAAACTCGCACACACAAAGGCAAAGACAAACACACACAAACTCTCTCACACACACACACACTCTCACACACAAAGACACACACACAAACTCTCTCTCACACACAAACTCTCACACACACACAACCTGTCACACACACAAACTGTCACACACACAAACTCACACCCAAACTCTCACACATACAGACAAACACACAAACTCACACACACAAAGACACACACACACAAACTGTTACACACACAAACTCACATCCAAACTCTCACACATACAGACAAACACACAAACTCACACACACAAAGACACACACACAAACTCACGGCCGGGTGGCGCTGTGGTCACCGCACGTGACTCGCAGTGAGCGACGCGCGACTTCTCATCCTTGTCTGGGTGGAGTTGGGGCACGAGAGGGATGACGACCAAGCCCCCTCACCCCTTCGGGGGGGGGGGGGGGAGCGATAAAACGAGCACCACTTTGTGGGACGTCAACATAGTGTTTTATAATACTCATGCATTCGCTTCCCCCCCCCGTCATATGAATGTCGAGTTTACACCACGATGTCCAACGCTGTTTTGAATGAACAACAAACACCTTCGCCTGTATCACTCCGTGTCGCCATACAGAACTCGCCGTGCCGCACGCGGTTATCAAGTACCAAGGCCTGGACCGTGTTCCCGCTGGCGATGCGGCCAATATTCTCCCCGACCACGTTTGTCTCCCCGATGCTGATGTTCGTACACCGCACCAGCTTCTCGTTTGACGCCGAGCCGAGCAAAGGAATACCCAGGGGAAGTTGTGGCACCACTTGCCACTGATGTTAGCCGTGTCCGGGGAGGGATCGCACTCAGGTCAGCGGGGTGAACGTGCACACAGAGTTTTGGTGTCCTCTCCACGATTCGTCATCTTCGCGTTGAACATGTTGAAGCGACTTGCCACTCGCAGCCCCTGTCCCATTGCATCCATCCCACCTCCAATCCTCTCTCCATCCCTCTTCTATTTTTTTTACGATAAGAGGAAACAAGAAGATGCTCGGTGTAGTCGGAACTTTGCTTCGTTCATCATTTCGTTTTTTTTTCAATGCTTTGCTTTATGTGCCCCCCCCCCCACTCTCTCTCTCATGCCCCCCCAACCCCCCCCCCCCCCTGTCCATCTCCATCCCTCCACCTCTCCGCTCCCACTCATCTCTCCCATCCTCGCTGCACAATCCCCACGCTCCCTCGTTCCATCTCTCTTCCCCACCACACTGCATTCCTTCTATCCACCCTCACTCTCCCCTCCCTCCCATCCTGTCCCTTTTCCTCCCCCCGCTCTCTCTCGCTTGCTCCCTCCCTGCATACCTCCATCCCCCCTCTCTCTCTACCCTCCCACACCTCCCCCCCCCTCTCTGCCTACCTCTCCATCCCTTTCCGCTCTCCCACCCTCCCGGTCTGTCCGTCTCCCTCCCACCCCCGCTCCCTGCCCAGCTCGCTCTGCTGGCGTATACGGAAGCGCTGTAACCGCAGCTGTGTTTCGGCACGATCCCTGCAACATGGCGTGAGGCGCTCCCGACGAGAGAGAGAGAGAGAGCGAGATACGCAGAGAGACGTGGAGACAGCCAAGGGGGAGAGAGAGAGAGACAGGCAGATCCATTTCTGTTTGGCACGTCATCATCATCTCTCTCGCTAGCCGGCTCGGTTTTCGGAGCGAACTATTCCGACAGTGCGCGCACACACAACACACACACACAGCGCACACACACACACATCACCACCATCCGTCATCGGCATCATCATCATCAAAGACTCCGACTGAATTAGACGTCGCACCATTAATCCCGTGGCGAGCTCGAGCGGGTGGGGAACGCTTCTCCCCCGTCCCCTCTTCCATCTCGGGCGACACTTGCGGTGCGAAGAAGAAGACCTCTCGCTCGCTCGCTCTCGACTCAAAGTGACTTTGAGCGCCGTTCCAGAGCCTGGCGTCGCTACTAACGCAGCTTAGCCGCTGGTTGCTGCTGTCGACGATGATGATGACGACGGCGGCGTCGGTGGCGGCGGCGATGGTAGCGTCGGCAAGCGGCAGTCCGAAGTTAACTTGGAGCTGTTCCCTCGCCCCACTCGCTTGGCGTTCACAAGAGGCGGCTTAGGCGAGGTGGCGTTGGTGTTGCAGAGGGCCACGTGTCAAGTTCACCGTTCTAGAAGGCATCGATGAAGAACTGATTAACCGAAGACACGAGAAAGGTGGTGGGGTGGGGGAGGGATAGCATTTATTTGATCGGGAATCCGTCCTAAGAAGTAGAGAGGACAATGAGATAAGATCTGTGGGGGGTGGTGAGTGGGAGGGCTGCGTTTCACGTGGATGTCACTTCGGGCGTGACGGACTCAGTCGAGGAAGTCGCTCTTCCTCCCCTCCCTCCCTCGTTCGCTCTTCCTCCCCCTCCCCTCCCTCTCTCGTTCGCTCTTGCCGCTGAACTTCACACGAAAAGTGCAAACGTGGCTCGTGGGCACGGGCTGGCCAGCCGCGTTAGTCTTTCCTGCTTAGAGACACGTCGTCGGCACGATCTTCAAAACAAATAAACCCCACCTCCTCCTCCCCCCATCCCCAACCGGTCTGTCCAGACTCGAGGAGCATCACTCACTCAACAGCAGCAGAAGCAACAGCAGCAACAACAGCAGCAACACCATTCGCGACTTAATTCTTTGGAGCGGGAGAGAGGAGAGAGTGGAGTTCAGAGTGAACAGGCAGGGAGCGACTTGATACGGCAGCACCATGAGAAGGAGACAGAAGAGAATTCTGCAAGCCACGGGGCTCTTCGTCTTGGTGGCGGTGTTCGCGCCCAACATCGGCCTCTGGTCGCTGTTCCGAGAGCGACAGCTCGAGAAGATCCCGCACATGCCAGGGCATCTGCAGGTAGGGCCACGGCTTCATCTCTTTTCTTCGTGTGCTGCTGCTGCTGTTGTTGCTGTTGTTGTTGCGTTTGTCGTTGTTGTTGTTGTTGTTGAGATTCCGCGTTTGAAGGCGAGCTCCGTGCCCGGTGCCAGGACCTTTACAAAGTACCGTGGCGTACGTAGGCAAGTGATGAATGGCTGCTGAACTTTGCCGAGTGGAGTTGTTGCTGCCGATGCTGCTTGCAGTTGCAGCTGGCCACGGTGTTTTTAGGTCGCACATTGTACGGTAGCTGCGAAGCTCTATCCAGTGCCAGGTGATACACACGACAACATGGTACGGTGTTGGCAAAGCGTTGTTGTTGTCAGCAGTGTTGCTGGGGGCTGTGTTGTTTATATTTTACATCGTGGCACTCACTGCATGTCGCCCCATTGCGGTACATGGAGCACGTGCCATTCAGATCGACAGTCGGTAAAGTCGCAAGCTCGACCGACTGCACTGCCCAAACCAGTTGTGTGAGTGAGCACCTCGTGAGGGTGATACGAAGACGCGATTCTGGTGCTGTGAACACAACACACACATCCTCCCCGTGTAGCCTGTAACAGACTGTAGGGGCAAGTGCTGTTAGCGAGTAGCACCTACAGACACGCAACACAGACAAAGATCCCCCGTGTAGCCTGTAACAGGCTGTAGGAGCAAGTGCTGTTAGCGAGTAGCACCTACAGACACACAACAAAGACAAAGATCCCCCGTGTAGCCTGTAACAGGCTGTAGGGGCAAGTGCTGTTAGCAAGCACCTACAGACAAACAACAAAGACAAATATCCCCCGTGTAGCCTGTAACAGGCTGTAGGGGCAAGTGCTGTTAGCGACCACCTATGAAAGTCGGCCCTGTGGCACACGAGGTGGTGGGGTGGCCAGCAACATTCCGTCTCCCCGAGTGGCGATGTTTGCCGCACACCGCACCGAGGGACTCATTCGAGGCCGAGTTGAACCTCGGACCGGTTCAAAACGATCCTCGCCGGCGGGGGGAGGAGGGGGGGGATCGAACCTCGGGGGTCCGCCGGGTTCGTAGCGCAGCGTGGAAGCGCGCTCACCGCTGCACCGAACCCCGTGAACACGGCGAACACGAACTCATCGCTCGCTCTCTCTCACCCACACGCACGGACTTGACTTTGTATTCTCATTTACGAGGTTGTGGCACGCGCGCAACAGCAACAGGTCGTCAAGTAGTCTGGTTAAGGCCGAGTTGACCTAGAGGAGGGCTCGGGAAAAAGGGGGGGAGGTGTGGGATGTAGATGTTGCACTTGGACATTGTTCAGAGTTATAGGTTGCGCCAGGGTCAGGGAGTCGAACCCGGGGTGGGACGCCGCGCACGTGCAAAGACAAAGATCCCCCCCATAGCCCGAGCTGACTGCTGGGGCAAGTGCTGTTTGCGAGCAGCTATTAAGGCCGGAACGGCACACGAGCATCACTCCTGCACGTACACACACGTAGACCGCGCTCCTACACGTATACGCACATATACACACACAGATACGCACATATACACACACAGATACACACGTACAAAGAGACGTGCGCTGTATACCTGGTGTGGTGCGTGTGTAGTAGGGAGCGGTGGTGTAGCGGTTAGCGCTGCGCTGTGCTACGAACCTGGTGACCCGGGTTTCTATTCTCGCTCACGGCCAACACCAGTGACGATTATCCGAACCGGTCCCGGGCCTCCCCTAGGTCGACTCGGCCTCAAATGAGTAACCCGGTGCGGTGTGTAAACATCGCCACTGGGGAGACAAAGGCGGTCCGGCGTGGTACTGGCCACCCACCCCCTCGTGTGCCATGCTGATTTTCATAGGTGCTCGCTAACAGCTCTTGCCCTAAGTCTGTGAAGGCTACACGGGTGAGCTTTGTCTTTGCATTATATTACGCACGCGCTAAACATGCATACACAAAATACCAGATAAGGCACCGAGACAACACAGACAAAGATCCCCCGTATAGCCTTAACAGGGGGAAGTGCTGTTAGCGAGCACCTATTAAGGGCAGGCACACGTACATAGCAGCTGTACACGCAAATACACATGCGCGCGCACAGTGCTGGTTACGCAACACACACGACACGTGCTGGTTTAACACACACATTGTACTTTGCTCACACCTGCGATTACACGATATCTGTAAGTAGTATCCAGTATTCTTCTGTTCCATGCTGCAGATTCCTGCACACAGCTGGTGGCGCCGACAGAAGCTACTGAAACCGGTTCTCAGAACTCGAGTACGAACCGGTTCACGATAGTGAGTGTCAATTTAACACGTTGGCTTTCGCCGTCAGTATTATTCATAATAAAGGTTTTTGGGTTAGATCGCGTTATTTAGAAATGTGTCGCAATCCTCCACCACCCGACACGGCCAATCAGTAAAAAAAGTGTCACGCTGACAAAAGACAAATAGTTCACTACTTTAGCCCACTGCTGTGTTGAAGAGTGAATCCACAACATTTACACTTTTTGAGTACGACGTTTCGCTGGTAATTAGATCCAGCATCTTCGGGCGATTTGTCTGACTGGTGAAGCCATCCACCTGCTTCTGGTCTTAAATAGTGCAGGACGATGTCATCGTCGTTGAACCCCATCAGGAATCGAGATCAGAGGCGGGGGTGGGGGTGTATGAAATTATGTAATCGATCAGTAATCAGCCACTTAGCATGTGACTCGCCTGTAAGGAATTGCAATATGTGTTGTGTATTACTTAATAATACGCTTCCAGGCAGCGCTGAGTCGATGGCAATCACAGCGATTCAAATTATTTGAATTCTTCTCAATTTCAATTGATTATTATGAATTAGTGAGTCTCATCCCATACGCGCACAACGTGGGGTGATACTACTGTGATGTGGTTCGGGTTTTTAAAAGTATGATTCCGCTCTCTTAGTTGCATCGGTGATGATTTGTTACAGCGCGTGTGTCACGATTGTGCTGCATAGCGCGGCGCTTTCAGAAGACCCCTTCTGGGGCCGTCTGGAACGCTCCTCTTTTCCAAGTTTGACAAACTAATTTCTTGAAAACTGCTTTGTGTGTTTAGTTTGTTTTGTCCTTGGCCGGCACCATCTGATTAGCACGGTTAAGCTACGTGCGGTGCGAAGGAAGTTCAACATACCGGTGACATATAAATGCGTTTACGACGATTGCACTCCTGCTGCGACTGATCGCTCAAGACGGGCACGGCTTTGCGATGAAGGCTCGCGCGGGCTCACGAATGTGCGGCGAGACAACTTCATTTGGGGGCGTTCATCCACAGGGCAGCCGGCAGAGCCTGCAATCGTGATCTGTGAAGTGGCCGTGCAGATGATGATGGGTTTCGTGCGTTAAACCACGTGTGCAAGCGGTGTCGACTCGTGGTGTGAATGAAAGCTACACTGGGGGTCTTTGTCCTGTTCTTGTTTGACATCATCAACATCTTCTTTATAATTACAAAAAACTACGACTGATGACGTAGTTTTTTGTAATTTTTATTTTGTTTGACTTTACCGAAAGACCCAAAGAATATGAACTCCTGCACTCACGAAAGCTTTAAGTCATCATCAACATAATTCGTATGTTGGCTCAGAGGAGACGTGTCATCTGCACTGGCCGTGGAAATGATGCCCCCCCACCCTCCACCCGTGTGTTAAACCACGTGTCCACGCAGTGTACACTTGACATTCGTCAACATCATCGCCGTCATTGTTCAATCATGAATCATATTTCAGAGCACGTATTTGTATGTATTTGTTTCCGAATAGGTTATTGTTCATTGGCGAATGTGTTTGATGAGTGTGTGTCATTTGTGCCTGTGCGTCACTGACGTGACCCGTCATCGCGTATCTTTTTAAGTCGAATAGAGCAGAGGAGTGTGATGTGTAAGTGGGAAGGGTGATGATGGGCCTCATGCAGTCGGTACACGTGTGTGGTCGTTTGACAGCATCGCTTGTTCGTATGTCAGAGCAGAGATGTAGTAGCCTCAGTGCACACATTGATACAAAGATCCCCGTATAACCTTTAAAGAGACTGTTAGGAAAGCTGTCTCGGGTGTGGACCAATCAACTTCAAGGACAGTGCACATTATCAGAGTTATGTTCTTTTGTTTGTATTATGACTGCAGGTATTGCGGTCTATGCAAACATGACTCCTTGCAAAAAGGTGTCAGTTTTGTTGCCAGATAGAAGGGTAAAGAACCAATTATCACGAGACTGTTAGGGTTAAGTGCTGTTGGCGAGCAACTTCGAAGTCCAGCACGGCGCAAGTGGAGAGTGGTTTGGCCAGAACCACGTCTCGCATCGGCTGTCTCGCTTCGGTGATGTGTACACAGCACACGTACACACGCACGCAGATGTTAGACACACATACACGCGTTGTTACACACAGTGAGCTCAGACGGGCCTCGTGGGAGGGTGCGTGAGTGTTGCCAGGTGATGTTATCACGCGAGCCGACACCGTCTCCCCGCCCACTCACCCCTACAGCACCCCCGCCCCTACAACAACCCCGCTCCTACAGCAACCCAAACCCTACAGCGCTCCACCACTACAGCACCCCAACCTTCTACAGCACCCTCATCCCCTACAGCACCCCATCCCTTACAGTACCCCCATCCCCTACAGCACCCCATCCCCTACAGCACCTCATCTCCTATAGCACCCCTACCCCTACAGCACCCCCATCCCCTACAGCACCCCATCCCCTACAGCACCCCCATCCCCTACAGCACCTCATCCCCTATAGCACCCCCACCCCAACCCCTACAGCACCCCACCTCTAAAACATCCCCTATAGCACCCCTACCCCTGCAAGACCCCCACCCCTGCAGCACACCAAACCCTATAGCACCCCCAACCCTATAGTACTCCTGCCACTACAGCACCCCAACCTTCTACAGCACCCCCATCCCCTATAGCACCCCCACCCCAACCCCTACAGCGCCCCACCTCTATAACATCCCCTATATCACCCTACCCCTGCAGCACCCCCACCACTATCCCCATTCTCCCA